AAGGGCGATGTGTTGCAACGTGAGATTTGGGGCTTTAGACTAATTTTGCAAGGTTGCTATGGAGAAAAAGAGGGCATCATATTTTTGTTGTTGTTATTAATTTGTCTGAAAATGCCCACGCAGTGTGACAGGAAGCAAAAAGAGGGCTGCTGATGGGTTGGTTTGGCTTAGCTGATAAGTCAAAAACAGTCAAAATAACACAAGAGCTAAAAATAGTATGTTTTGCTGGGTAAACAGAAGGAGTCTGCTCTCCTAACCCCACGCAAGTCAGGAGAAATGGCCGAAATGAAGCAATAATTTATGCTAAGTAGAATTCCAACAGTTTTTCACATTTCCAGTGAAATATTTAGGGCAAAATGAGCTGATTTTGCAGAGTGCAGCAGTGCCAACACTTCCCTCATCTTTGATCAAGATGGGCCTGTATGATCTGATCACAGCTACCACCCATGAGATGCAGCCGTTGTGTCCCTCGTGCAGGACGTGGACGGTCCGATCCTGCCTGCATGCTCAGCCCATCTGCAGCTTTCACATGGGTCTTTGCCACAGCCAGGTCTGCTCCTAGGAAGATCCCTGAGGAAGGATTCCTACGGGGCAAGGACTAGCGGAATCCGAGTTTAAAACAAACCAATCTGCTTTACAGAGCACAGAAAGGAGGTTTTCAGCATCTCCCCCACTTGCAGACAGCGCTGAATAAAACTCCACTACAGATAACGGAACTTATATTTATTTAACAGTAACATATAGTATATAAATAGGGTAAATATTTTAAAATATACAATATATCACATTCGGACATTCGGTCAAAGAAAGGCAACTCTACATGTGTAGCTAAAACATTAATCAAAAGAACAATGCACAGCGAAAGAAGCCGATGGTAGAAACACATCAGGTCTGGAGAACAGGAGCACACAGAGATTACAGTAGTACAAAATGCAACTCCAGGGCTGGTTACAGAGGGCAGGAACCACAGGAGCTTTCACGCGATGCTTTTTGTGACAGACACCTGTCCCCAGAAGGGTCTGGATGGGCCAGACCGATGTTTTCCACACAGCTTCGCTCTCCTCCTGTCATACAGAGCCGGTCAGAGGAGGCGGGGGGGAGGAAGAGATGCCAGGATCCCACTGCAGCCATGGTAGGGGGAACTGGCTGCACACATTGGAAACAGAGGACATACCTTGGAATATAAGGTACCAGCATTTCACAGCCTGGTGCCCAGCGTAAGCCTGTGCTACAGGATTTCCAGCTTCACAGTGGTACAGGGTACCATAAACCACAGGCAACAGCTGCCCCTTCAGATCAGCGTCAGCAAACTTCGGAGCCCGTCACCCCGAAGAATATCTAAATAATACATGCTGATCGGCACAGGACATCGTACATAGAAACCAGGTTTCGATGTTTCACTGAGCACCGCAGGCCACTGTCTGGCCGTGCATCTGATCTGCAAACTAATTTGGGCTACAACTAGACTTGGAGAAGCAAATTCCGATCAGCGCATGCCAAGTGCTCGTCTCCACAGACCGTGCCCACTCAGGCTGTGGATCAAACCAGCGTCCAACCCGTATCACTAAATCACCCACCAGCAAACAATCATGAACGTTTAGAGTCACCTCACCAGGACAGCCAGCTTCTCGCGCTATGCGAAAGCAGCTTTCTAGCCATGTCATCCCTTTGCTTATTAAATACACTCACACCCCTCTCTGTACTCTCCAACTGGACACGCAGTGACCACTCATGAAGAGGTGGTTTCTAGCCCAGTCTGTCCCCTGCCAGGCAGCAGTCGTACCCTCGCAGGCTTCACACTTGCCAAATCCTACTTTCCTCTTCCCTCTGATCCAAGCACACGCGTCAGCTGATACACTACCTCCCCCTTGCTGGTCTGCTTCACAGTTATTTCCCTCTTGCTGGGCAAATACAGGAGGAACTTCTCCAGTCATGGAGCCCACTGTGAACAAAAACTATTGTGCAATGCCAAGCTCAAGCCCTGCAGCTGGAGGAACTTCACGTGAGCATCCCTGCCTCACCTTACCTAGACATCCCTGCCTCGCTCCAAACCTAAATTCTCGTGAGAGCTGCAGCACGACCAAGGTCCTGCAAGGCTTAATGCAATGAAAAGAGATGCAACGCGTCTTGCTACACATCCCTTGGCATCACAGTTAACTCCTTTAGGGACAGCCAGAGGCAGTAATGTCAGCTTTTCGTTTCCTCTGACTTTCTAAGGTTGAAATAGCTACAGCAAACTAAAGCCACTCACAGGCTGGGCTGATGGGGAAAACCCACAAAACGCTCCCTGAGACTACACACTGTCGCTAAGAGCTGAGCAGTACTATCACATATATTCATACCAGTGGTGTAGAAGTGGGTTTGCCAGCCACAGCTCTCAGCCTGACGGAGGACACGATATGGTGCTCACCAGCATTTCTCAGCAAGATCAGCTGTACAGCTTGCAAATAATCTTAACAACCTCCATCGCCCTCCCTTCCTCCTCCATTTCTCAAACAGATGCACTCTTCCCATTCAGTTTACTAAACTCCAGTGCAGGACGCTAAACGTGGCTTTACCCTCCAGGATCAAAACAGGCTTGGAAGTCCACCCTTTAACTGCACTGCTGGGAAGGAAGCAAGACTAAAGCTGCGAGCTCATCAGGAAAGTCACCCACAGGCATTATTGCTACTGCCTCTCTCCCAGCCCTAGGAAGCCACTAAATGCAACTGCTTTGCCCTCCAGTGTCCACATCCAGCACTACACCCTTCAAAAAGGCCCAAATGCTACTTAAAAGCATGCAGAAAAGCTTTGCGTTCAATTTTTGCCCCATTAATTACAACTAAAGAGGTACAAAAAGTTTAAAGCAAGATGAGGAGGCTAAAGACTCATATGAAACATTTCTTAATCTAAAGAGCCGTACACTTTTGTAATATTGATCAACACTATAGCATCATTCTTCTGATGACTGACTTACGACCCAACAGTGCACTACAAGGGATTTTGGCAGATGTTGGCAATGGGCAGGGAGAATTCAGAAAAGCACCAGCTTGTCTGACACCAGAGGACAAATGACTTTTCGGGGACTACATAAAACCCTGTCACTTCCACGCCTATTCCCAGCCCCGGTACTCCTTGCAGGTGCCCTCACTTTGCCTAGCTAAACTCAGCCAAATTGTCACGAAACACAAACCAAATATTCTCCCTGGGCAAAGCAAGATGGAAGCACCTTAATTCTCCCCTCCAATTTTCAAATTAGCGGCTTGGACCAATATCTGCTAAATCAACAGAAAACAAATCCCTGCCTAATACAGTCTCCACAAGTAGTCCAGGGAAGTCTCTACGTACACCATTGGCATTAACCAAATGCAATCCTGAACCGGCTCCATCGTAGCAGTCCCTGCCAGAAACCAGCAACTTTGCCAGCACCATGCTGAAAATACTACGTGGAAACGGACCCTTCTTCTCCACAATCTGTTCTTTCGATCAAATACCTGTATTTCCAGTACAACGGGCACAAACTTCTGCCCCCTGGTTCCTGTTTAGGGAGATGAAGCAGAGCTTGTGACACAGAAAGCGTCCTATAGAAATGTGAGAGAGAGGTTGGTATTATTAATGTATTTACACACATGCACGCTCTCTCGCTCACTCAGGGTAAATGAAAGCAATGGCAGAATCAGAATATGGAGTATGATCTATGAAGTATTTTCAGGTGTTTTATTTTCCATTGATGCTTAGCTAGCTCGCAGTGTGTACATGTGTCCATATCGGGGGGGGTCTGTGTATAAGGTTTATGGCAGCAACTGTTTGAAAACAGCTATGTACTTCTGTATTATCTTTCCCTGTCACTCATTCCCCAGGTTAAAATAAGGTAAAGTTTCTCTCTCCTATGTACAAACTATGGAAAGAAGTAAAATCAGAGTCACCTTGTGCTTGGGAACATTGCATAAGGTGTAAACCAGGGATATTTTCACTATCTGATCACGAAAAAAAGAAAAGTTTTACAATCTTTAGGGCGCTCATTTTTAAATGATAAAAAGTGTGACAAAATAAAGGAAAGTACTTAGATAAAACTTGCAACTATTAAGTACAAACTATTTATGACAAGATTTAGTAAGCAAAGCAGGACAGAAGCCTGCAGGTAAATGAACCCAGACTGAAATGCAACATAGACCATGATAAACTCAGCAGCACAACATCTAGAACTCAAGTAAAAACAAGTGATAGACATGATCCCTGAAAGAAAACCAGAATACCCTGCTGACAGCGCCAGCGGGGTGCTGGAGCCTCAACCAGCAAACTTCAGAAGACAAACCAAGTTGGAAACTGCTCTCCAAATTAGTTAAAATATCCCAGTGCAGGGTTTCCAACCATTGAGAAATGAAAAAGAGTGGTTCAAAGTTTCTTAAAGGTTATGTGAAGGGGGAAAAAATGACCCAAGTTATTTAAAGGGTTGTTCTTACTTGGCAAGAATTACTCAATGAAACTTCAGTGTTCTTTAAAACCTATTTACTTGATTCAGTTTTGAAGCAATTTGAACCTCCCACATTCCTACAAGCAACTACCAGTTTCTTGACTCCTTGTCCCCAGTCTATTTCTGGTTTAATTGGTTATAAAAAAACTTATTTGCCAAAATATCAGCCATAAGGGGGGGAATGTGAGAGGCACTGCAAAAAACAGCAAGTGAAAACAGATGCACGTGCCTGGCTGGGCAGAGGAAATGTGGCTAGATGAGTACAAGATGCTCTTCCAATTAACTGAGCCTTGTGCTCGCCAGGCAGTCTGCAAGGAGACTGCACACAGGCATAAATGTGGCTTTCTGGGAAAATTAACATTGCATTCACATTTACCACCGGAGAAAATGACGGTCCCCAGAGTTGCCATCGTGAACACAGCCTGGCACAACCGCCAAGGGAGCTGCACAGCTTCGCCTTCCCTGCTGTCTCCCGCGTGCAGAGGTGGACGTACGGACAATGCTTTGTGTATTCCCTGCGTGAACACACTCACAGCAAATGTTCAGCTCTGCCCACACGCATTGAAGGTTAAGAACAGACCACGAGGACAGTCGTACCCTCCTACTTCACCCAACAGTCCTTCCAAGCTTTAACTCCTTTTCAACTACAAACTCAAGATTTGCTCATTTGAACCAAAGCTATATAAATATATTATTTAAAAAAACCCACAAATGCAAACATTTACCAAGAAAGGAAGAAAAGTTACAGTGAAATGAGGCCTTGTTATTGTCTTAAATCAGTCAAGCCAGGAATTTCCTCAAGGAGGCTTGTCTGTTTTCAGTCCTACTCCAATCGCCCGGCTGTCTATGCGTCCTCCAAACTCCCTAACATACCCTTGTCAACAAGGTGTGCCTTTAGCGTGTTGAAGATGTGGAGCTGCTGGTCTGGCCGCAAGGTTAAGAACTGCTGGATCAGTTTGCTTGGGTTAGGACCTCTGAAACACAAAAAGCATCATCATTATCAGTGAGTCACATCGCTAAGTCTTAATAATCTGGGAACCCAAGTGCAATTTCATCAAAATAATAGGCTTAAAGTGAGAGCTATGTTGCCCATTCCTTCACCAGTTCTACCTGGGGAGCTTAACTCCACTTGGGATGTGGAAATGGATTCAAAAGGCACAGGATGCAGAACTGTAAACAAAAAAACCCCAAACCCAATCTGTTTCAAGAGGGTTGTGCATCTTCCCTTATCAGCAGATGCTCCCTCCCAAAAATCAAAGCAGCCACATAAAGACAGCTCCTCAACTCCTGCAGTACATCTTTTATGCACCTACAGGCTTTCTTCTATGCTTGGCTACAGAATACTTGGTAATGCTACAAAATTATATTTTTCTGCTCGTTCAACTCTGGAAAGCATGCTCAACGTTCACGGGGACATAGAGGAGTTTCAGAGGGTCTGGAATAACAGACCTTGGGAAACAGGAGTTGCGTTTCCAGCTTTGCATTACCCTGCTGAAAGATGCTTCTCTTCTTCAAGCCTCCATTTCCTCTCTTTATCTTGTATTTTTAGATGTTAATATCATGGGGACAAAAACTGTCTCTTATCACTTGTACATCACTTGAGTTTGACAGAGCCCCCAACCTTGACCGCAAAGCAATAAATACCTGATAAAGCTTGCGATGTACACGTTCACAAAGGTAGCCATCAGGTACTGACAGTCAAAGCGGTCCATGATACCTCCATGCCCTGGGATCGTGTTGGCAAAGTCCTGTGCAAGGCAGAAGGGGTTGTATTTAGCAGTCCTAAATGCCCATTACCTGGACCTGCTTACGTACCTCTATGCTCGACACTCCTACTCTTGCTCTAATTCTTCCCAGAAGACAAAAGTCAGACTAAGAAGACATTTTGTTTAATCTGTCCCTTGTTTTTAAAGTTTCTCCTTTATGAAGACTATCGGTGCCTGAGGGACATGAAGGCTTAACTCAGATCTGTCACTCAAAGGTCAAGGATGTTTATCTCTTGCAACGCTGTCTTGCCTTTCAAGGCATCTTAACCGAACATGGACTGTTTATACATAAAACCAGCCTGCAAGACATCAAGGGAAGCCTCAGATTGCAAAATTTCCTGACTGGGTCTTTCTTCCTCTACCTCAAGTTCTGCACCAAAGCGGGGTTTAGAATATCAGTTGAAATTTTAAGGTCTCTCCCCATTCAGTCAAAAAATCTAAATCTTGCCCCAGCATTTTATCTGTGACCAAACAAACCTTCTCTGCCTTCCCAAAGCTTCCAGCCTGCCACTCGTTAGAGCACAGGGGCTGTTTAGAGTGGTAGCAGCCATTGAGTCTTTCCTTTCTAAAATGTAAATGACCTTCACCATCCTCACCTTGATTTTGAAGGCCCTCTTAAATCCACTAGCAAAGAAGCCTCCAAACGGCCCAATGAGGGAGGCAAAAGTAGACAGTGCGATGCTGTGGATTTGGAAGGGGTACATCCGGACTGTCTTCTGCAGAAAGAAAAACATGTCAGAGAAGGATTTTTAATGAGAATAGCAATGTCCACCACTTCCTCCTCTTTCTGTGCTCTCCAGGATTTACACTAGTTGGTTTTCAAGTGGATTCAAGTCCCATCAGACTTGGGACAGCTCCTTTGAGTTTTCAATCAACATGGAGCTAACTTCCCCATTTTTATGCATGTACCTTTGTCATGTTCCTTTGAAGACCATAAAAATAAAGCCCTGATCTCTTTTCTTGGGTGTTCCTACCCCAATAAATAAGATCAAATAAACAGAGAGAGTCCTACCCAGCCCACCACGGACTGCAGCACCAAGGGGATGTTGTACTCCTGTAGCTGGAACAGCTCTGACGGCTCACAGTCCACTGTGAAGCTGTTGGTGTCGTTGTTGAACTCCACCGGACAGGTGAAGCACCGGTACCCAGACATCACATAGGACAGCTTCAAGGAGAGAGAAAAAAAGACGCGGCAAGAGGAAGCAGCATTAATATCTTCCTGAGCAATGTGGCAGAACCAGTCTCAAGGGAAAAGGCCACTCAAGGAGACATGGGAAGGAGGGAGCCACTCTCCCGGCTTCATTAAGAAGATTACTCTCCTCAGAAGCACTAATTGGCTAAAGGCAGAGTAAGCATTTTCGTTTAGTAAGTGCATCTGTTCAGCAAGCAGTGATCAGAGCCTTGTACAAACAGGCTGAGACGGGCTGCACCACTTGGCTGATGGGATGGAAACAACCAGATGCAGAGATCATCATAAAAACAGATCAGAGTGAATTCCCCCTGCAATGATGCACAGCATTCATCCAACAGCAGCAGGAGAAAGTTTCAAGGATAATTATTGGAATGAACATGTCACAGGGTCTAACAGGGACTAAAAACTTCCTCCAGTACTCTGCTCCATCTGCAGCAGAAAACATGAAGTCTCTGACAAGAGCTGGGAGAGCTTAGAGCTTGACTGCAGTTTTTAGACAAAACACTGTCGCCCTACAAAGGGAAAAGACCAATGAAATAAGCTCCATGATTGCTACTTACCAGCAATCCAAACAAAACGGTGGCAAAAAATCCTCCAATAAAACCCTCCCAGGTCTTCTTTGGGGAGAGCTGCCAGAGAGAGAGAAGGGGGTAATTACAAACTGTACATCTCTGCACACCGCTGCACACCTATGCAGCCCTTCCTCGCTTGTGAATCGCTGAGGCAAATACAAATCGGTGCCAACAAACAACAAATAAGAGTTTGGTGAGAAGCTGACACTAACATCTTGGTCTGAAACGGTTCGTTGCACTTTACAGCCTCAAAGACTGGGATGCACGCCATGTTTAACTTGGAGGCTTGCTTCAGACCCACAGCAAGCCATGAAACTGGAGACGAAGGAACACAGGACTAAGACCCAAAGAAGCCAAAATGCAGGTTTCATCCACCAAAGTGTTACAAACCTTGATGAGTGGTGTGCGGCCGAAGAAGAACCCAAACATGTACGCCATGATGTCATTGCAGATCACACAGGAAATTGGGACGATGAACCTAGATGGGAGAAGAATCAAACCATTGGAAAGTGCCAAGATCAGACAACTCCAAGACCTACATAAATGAGCAACTGCTTCCTAAGATGCTTTGCAGTGCCATCACATCAACATCTCCCCCTCCAATGCAATGCAAGGAGCAACCACCTGAAGCTCCTAGGGAAACCTCGGGGGGTACTCTAGTCCTCCGGATTCAAAAGCACGTTGTATACCCAGAACGGCCTGGTTTAAGCCCGTTTTCTTTTGCCACACATGACATGCTGTTAGACAGTCACCCCCTTGCCCCCCAAAGAGGCTGCATTTTAGCTGTAAGCAGGCAGCTCCCGAAGCCCTCCGGGCTGGCTGTGGTGCGCAGAGGAACATGCAATCTTGAAGCGGCCAGAATGAGTTCCTGGCACTGCTGGTTTTGGGAAGACCACCAAAGGGGCTTCTGCTCTGCACAGCAGGCGGAGTAAGGTGGCAGGTTGCGATCTCCTTCCTTTCATAGTGCTGCTTTTAACATGATGCAGACGGCACTGCCCCAAATCAAGTGCTGAGCAGCACTTTCCCATCCATTTGCTAGATGTGGGTATAAAAAGAAAGCATCTACACAGCCCTGACGCTGCCTGAGAGGTCCCTGCACCCCACAGCAATTTTCAGATGCTTTGTTACAACAACTCTATACTGCTCAAGTGGCACAAAGCAAGTCCTAAGTCGCTGAGGTATCACTCAATCTTTTGCTTTTAACAGGTCGGTGCCTCAGAGGAAGCACCTTCTCCTTAGCCATTCGTTTTTTTAAAAGAACAGTTTTAACTCCAAACATGGTCATTTGTTTCAGGCTGCAGAAATCAAAGCAACTCAGAACGCATGGCAACTCACCATATCATTCCTTCAAACAGGTTGTGAATGATGAGGTGTGACTGGGTAACAACAATTAGCAACGTCACATGGGTCCATCCAAACTGGAAGAGAAGACAGCATGCAGTCCAGCCTGCCTAGAGACACTGCCCGTACGCATCGCTGGCAGAAATCAGATGCTGTTAGCTACCTCGCAGACAGAGGTCATGCACATGTGCAGTTCTAGCATGCACCTTCACCAGGGCAAACACCGAGTCACGAAGAGCGGGGAACAGTCACCCGTAATAATTTATGGGCACGTTCTTCAGAGGTGACCTTCATCGGGAAGACTTCTGCTGGACCAAATGCTCACCCCTATCCCATACATCTCACTCAACCTTCTAACTATATAAGAAGAGGAAAAGACTGATAGATATCCAAGCTGTATCCCTGTGTGCTGAATACACTGGAAAGCAAAACTAGCTGCGTTGAGTCAAACATGAGCAATGCCTTGCTGATGTTTGGGAAAAGGGGAACGTAGCCAATTAACCCTGGTGGTGATCTACCCTCAGTACAAGAGTCAAGTAGCCTTGTGCAGTCCTCTCACCTTGCAGAAAGTTTCTTAATAGTGTCTACAAGTGCAGAGAGAAGAGAATACATGTTTGCAGGGAAATTTGGTCAGTGCCAGCTTCCTAAAAATACAGTGTGCTCACAGTAACTGTTCTTCCAGGCAGCATTACAATGCACAACCAGCACAGAAACAGCTACTGACATGTAGTCCTCTACACAACATTTTCAAGCAGCCTACATTATTCCTTCTTCTGCCTCCAACTGGGGGCAGCCAGGCCCTGCATTTAACCTTACCATGTAGAACTGGAGGCGATAGTGTTTCTTCACCAGACTCAAGACAAACATGCAGAAACCTGATGAGAGACAGAAGAAAAGTAAATGGTGGGAATGTATCTTCAACAGTAAGAAATACTTTTTTACCATGACATTGCACAGCAACTCAGGATTTTACTTGAGTAAAGCAGCAATGCGGAGTGGGAAAAAACACTACTTTGGAAGTCACAAAATACCGTTGCCTACAAGTAACACTTGGACAGATGAACAATCGAGCCTGGCTGTCCCATACAGATTACGGAGTTTTCTTCTACAGAGCCTCATGTAAGAGATTTGCCACCACTACTCTGACCACGCAGCCAAGTTACAGCATCACCGAAGAGCAGAGATAACTTGCTGCGGATACTGTGTTGGACACAATGCTCAGGACAAGAGCAGTTCAAGGAGATTTCTTTCCTCCAGCCCGGACAAGATTAACCAACAGAAAATGTGGTCTCTACCTGTTAAGTATAGGGTGAAAGAAATGAAGCGATGGTATTTGCTGAGAATCCGCAGGGGCTCCTCTCTCTGAACCAGGGTGAAGAAATAATCCGTCACTGTCTCGCCATAGAAAAAGTAGTTTACGCAGAGCAGGAAGTACCTGTGAAGGATGCAGATGCTCACTAGCAGGAACTCTAAAAAGCTTCTGGAGAAACACAGAAAGTGACTGATCCCTAAGGTCTTTACATTGCTCTGGTACACTGCAAACAGAATTTCTTCAAGAGATAGCCAGAACTTTGTTTCTCCCACTTTAGAAATGTCACCTTCATTTAAACTAGCGGCTGCATCACTCAGCTCCACTTTGCAATGGATCACACTATCAGGGTCCGGTTTTGGCCCTCTGACGCACAAGGACTTTCTGCCTTTAGGTGGCACTCCTCAGCAGGCCTCTGCGAGCTTGGGCATCCTAAAAGCACCCGCTCTGTGTGGAAGCGTTGCTCCTGTCCTCTCCCCAGCCCTTATGTCCCAATGTTCAGTCCTGTTTCACAATCACCTAAAAACTCCCATCCCACCCAAGCAATCACATCCATCTCTAAGAGGTCACGCCTGTCCATGCTGTCCCTTGCACAGATCATGGGATTCAAATCTCTGCGCTTCGTGACCAACAGGACAAACTTTATCAATAGGGGTTCTTTCAAGATATTGATCTATCAAGATTTCTGGGGGCTTTTCCTTTACACACGACACTGGTCAACACACAGCAATCCCAGGGTCTCTGGTTTGGAGGTAGCCAGATGATCCCCTTGCTGCCTGCCCCCGTACTCACCAGCTGAGCGTCCTGAACCAGGGAAGGTCATACGAGTGGTACACGTTATAGCCAATAGTGATAATCTCATGGAAACATTTGATCTGGACACACATCACCTGCACAAAAAGACATCCAGAAGCTGTAATACATGTTGGTTAAAAATTTTTATCTCAAGGAGATAAAAATCATTCATGTGCAGAGCAAAAGACACTTTAGCAGTCACTATCAGTCTGCCAGGAGTCTCCTAATCCAACATGGGAAGCTCACCATGTTGTTCTTCCCTTTCCTCTGCAGGAGGTTTCTAACAGCCCCTTGTATTAGTTTCAGTTGCAGCCAAATGCTGACCTCCAGGGCAGGCAGTCACAGATTCCTTCCAGGTTTCCTCCATGGAGAGAGAAATCCAGCAAGCTAAGGACTTCCAAAACACAAGGCTTTCAGCTTCCCACTCCAGCAATGGTCCTAGCAACCTTCCCCCCTACTGCTGTGAATGTCAGGGCATCTCTCTGGAGCACTTACTATTGTCATTAAGACCATGGGTCCCAAATAGATGATGATGAAGAAGAAGGTGATCATTGCCAGCGTGAGGATGCCTCTCACCCACCAATTCTTCCATCTAGGCCATAGAGAAGGAAAGATGTTAGAGAAAGTCAAAACAAAGCAAAGAAGCAGGACAGTACTTCTGCTCTCTGCACATCACAGGAAGGAAACTGAGCCCTGGAAACCCCAAGTTTCTTTTCAGTGGTGCAGAGAGACTTTGATCCACTGATGAAGGCCTGGTTGCAGCAGCTGCAAGGCTACAGTGCAGCTCAGTCTCCCCTGCTACGAACCTCAACTAAATGCAGAAAGCATTAGCCAGGTGCAGCATATCTCCAAGGGCACTGAAATGTCTCTTCCTGTTCTGCTACAGGTTTCCCACACCTTGGACAAGCTGCATGGTAAGTTCAAATAAAATGGGGATCGCTACCCCTCTCTGCACTCCTTTTCAAGAGGAGACATGGGCCCTGGCGTGTTGTACCCTTGCTGCTCTCCAACAGATCCTGCCTTGAGCCTCTCCCATCCTCACAGCACACCCAGGAGAGACTCCTTCTCCCGTGATATAAATAAGATGCTTTTTCCCCAAAGCAGTCTGTAGAGAACATTCTCAGTTTGTTCTTAAATCTCGTCCTTATCAGCATGCTTTTCTCATGCTTCCTGCAGAAGTAAGTCACACCAGTGGTTAAAAACCACCGCAGTTGAAGTCTTTGCTGAGAGTGCTGTCAAAGCTAAACACAACGTCTTCTGCTCCATCCAGGCCTCTTTTCACCTGCCAAGACCAAGCACGCAGCGAGGCAGCCCTCCCACAGCGCTCCTCTGCCACCGGTCCTCTCCCACGCACAGCAGCCTTGAGCACTGCTAACATCACCCTCATCCTCTGCTTCCTCTGGCCGCGGGGCACCTTCCTGCCTGCCGCCAGGAAGGGAGAGCGCAGCGCTTCCCGGAGCTCTTAGTCAGCTTCCAGCAGCCACCACCGGGGCTAGGAAAGCTGCGGTGAAGATGGAGGGCCCCTGGCAGCAGATGGGAACAATGCTCAGTGAGTGCTACCTTGAGGACAGGTTGGAGAGAGCTCTGTTAAGGACCTCCGGAGTGTCATCCGACGTTGGCACTGGGGGCGATCCTCCAAATTCGGATTTGCTTTCGCTGTCGGATGCTGTCTCTCCATCCAGCTTGTTCTCAGACTCTGACTCCTGCAAGTTAGAGACAAAGAGCTTTACTAGACACAGTGCTGGCACTCTTTGAAGAAACTCTAACCAGCCAACGGGATGCAACACCTACCACCACGCTACTTCTGCATGAGAGAAAGAGGAGAAGAAAATATTCTGGGTATTACGTGGGGTTATACCCATGAGAGACAACATCAAGTGGTTTAGGTGACATACATGATGAGTTTTACTCTCCATCAGTCTCAGCAGTGGCTACAGAAAAGGTTCTGCTCCCTCGGAACGGAAGCACACAGAAGGACATAGGCTTGTTAGCAGGAATTTTTACAAGGTCCCCCAGTCCCCAGGCCGGTCTCCAAGTATGCAACCCTGCCCGAATTACACAGAAAGAAAGGCCTCCAAGCAGACAGGCTCAAGGCTCCCAGACAGACTTTTCAAGTGCTGACTTTACATGCAGGCGCTAAAAATATCACTGAGCCTATCCTCAAATAGCTGAAGAGGAAGAGCATGGCTTATCACTCTGGCCCAACCATCCTCTCAGACCGCAGAAGAAACCTGATGTACTGGAAAGAAATACACGTGCTTTCCTGCCCCTTGGACTGCTCCGGCACTCAGCTCAGAGCAAAGTCCTGCATTCAGGGGGTAAATAAATACAGGCGAGGCAGGAGGATACTGACAGCTCTGCAACAGGCCAGTGGTGGAAAAAGGATTACCAGTGACCTCCTGGCTCGCAGGCAGTTCCATGCCCTCTACCCAGCAGCATTTTTTCCTCCAATCCAGCTCGTGAATAAAGGACAAATCCAAACTTCCACGTTTTGCCCCTCACTTCAGCAGCAGAGCTTCATCCTGCTCCTCAAGTCCTTGAAGCAAGGAAGGGAAACGTCACTCCCCGGGGAGTGCTCGTGCATCAGGCAAGGCACGGCCCGTGCATTTGCCCTCGGACCATGGGCTATTTTAAAACTCCCGGAAAAGAGAGTAAGTTTGCAGGAAAAGCAAGGCGGGAGCCAAGCTGGCAAACACTGGGAGCTCTGCAAACAAAGCGACTTCATCCCTTTGGGCTCCCACGCAGCGCTGCCCCGTGCTCGGAGCGGGGACACCCCTACCAAAACAAGCATCCACTGCGACTGGTTTGGTGTAACCATATCAAGGGGTATTTGTAGTTCACTAGAGCAGTAAGACTTGAGTAGCTCCCTTATTTAAGGCAGGAAAAGATAATTACTCCCCAAGCTGTAACGTATCAATGGCTGCAGGCCAGGTTCTTAAAACAAAAACAGCTAGACACCGTCAGGTGGAGGCAGCTAAAAATACAACGGTGTTGTCAGAGGTTGCTTCCGGGGACGAGCGAAGCACTGGCCATCGCACCAGTCGCACCCTGCGTCGCCTCCTCCTCGCCTTGCTCCGCGTTCGCTTCTTTCCATTCCCATCGACTGGGAAGGAAGAGGAAAGCAAAACTAAACATCTCTGCCAGCACTCGCATGGGTTTGGAGAGCTGGCAAAGAAATGCAACGTGGCTTTTTTTTTTCAGTTGTTTTTTAACTGACCTGTAAAATGCACTTGTCCCTCGGACTTCAGAGAGATTTAGTGCCATTTAGCTGGGAACACACAAAAGATCAGTTCCACAAGGCAGCTGCAAATGGCAGCAGGCAAAAAGACTGGAGACGATAAAACTCCCTGAAGACCACGAGTTTGGCATCCTGTAGCACAGGTCAGGGGTTCTCGAGCAGGTTTGGGGAAATCAGCACACTGTATTTAGCTACAGTCTATGTTTCCCATTGCAATGCTTTCTCCAAGAAAAGGATTCTCTGCGGAATTACCCTGTGAGCAATCTAAATAATAGAGAATAATAACAGCTTCAGCACCAGCCTGACCAAACTCAGTTTCTCCTTCTGGTCTTCTAGATTATGTTTAGGAAACATAACTAATAAACATAACTAATTGTTGCACATTTCTAAAAAAGAAAAATTAATGTGACTGATTCAAATCAAAGGGGCAAGGAAGTGCTTTGGTACTTGGGGTAACTGCCATCATCTGCATACACTAAACCCAAAAACCTCAAGATTTCAAATGCAGCCCAAGTATCCATCATCTCATGCAAGTCCCAGGCTCGCCAGCCATGCAATAAAAGGAGTAGGCATTGAAAGGAGAAAGCAGATCCAAGCCAGCATCCCTGCGTTTGATTCCCAAAGCACTAACATTGCAAGGCTAAGTGCAAAGCAGGCAAATTATTCCTTGCCTGTAGCCCAGAGGATCAGAAGTTTCGCAAAGTGTGAAAGAGCACTGATGCACTCCTCCCTTCCGCTCCTGGCCAAGAACATGAAGGATGAAAGCAACTGCACAGCTCAAGAGACGGAGGAATTTGATGTTGCAACTGAGCTACTCTAACAGCTGCTGGAGCGGGCAGTCCCAATCTCTGCCGTAGCCCAGCCGATGATTTCTCGCACTACCAGGGATGGTGCTGCTAAATTGATGTCAACCACATCACCAGTCACCCGACCCAAGCTTTCAGTGCAATGCCAAACCAAACCTCGTGGTGCAAAGTGTTTTGGTCTCCAAGAGCAGGAGCAAAGCCTCCCTGGATCAGTCCAATGGCACACGCGTTCCGCTGTTCCCCACTTCATCCTCAGCCCTGGGAACAGGAGAGGTCGTGCAACAGCCACGCAATACCCACAGCTCCAACAAACGTCACCGTGTTATTTCCAGAGAGTACGAAGAAGGCAATCAAGAGGTTTGTCAAGATAAAGGGACATTGTGAGGGTTCAACATTAAATCTAGGATTCATTGCTGCCACATATCTTGCCTGCTCAATTTAAGCCTCATGGGAGGTAGAAGAAAGGCTTTTCCCTGATGGAAGAAATTGCCAAAGTCAGGGCTAACATACATTTTAACATCTTCACTTTCAAAACAACTGAGCCTCAGGAATCTGCTCTTCTCCCTACTTAGATCCCTCTGAAACTGAGTGTTGCGATTATATAGGACATTGTGCCAGATATAGGCTATGGAGAGGACTCAGTAATTGACACTATTTTTATACCTTTTATGCAAATTGCAACCATCAGCCTACAAATCACTGGTTTAAGCAGCTGAGTGGGGTGCTAAATAACTTGTTTGAGCCTAAGCGTGATGCACCCTCGTCTGGGCTTCTTAATCCAGCTGTGGCATTGCCTTGGTAACACCCTCCGCGTGTTTCCACTGCTATCTCGCTAGTCCTCCAACCCATCTAGACAGATCCCCGTCCTCGAAGGATAATCATCAGATAGCAATACCTTCTGCAAAGCAGCTTGCAGCAGCAAGCAAAGAGTGCAAAGCGGTGCAGCCGACAGTGAGTGATGCTCGCCAAGGGCTACTGCCGGTGAAGATTTAAGCTCATTACAGAGTCAGCGCTTCTGCAAAGAGCTCGTGAGTGCAAGGGGCAGGTTTGGGCTGTGTTGAGCCATAGGCTGCAGACACAGTGTCCCGCAATGCCAGTACAAACAGCGTTTCAGGGAAGCCGGGTCTCATAGATGGTATTCTGTCATCAATTCTGCTGCTCCCCCAAGAAACACATTTCTGATGCCTCTTCTGTGCTGTTTTCTACTATTTCTGCCCTTGAAACAAAAGCCTGGAGACTCACACCTGCAGCAAGTTAACCCAGAAATCGTGACTTGTCTCCTTTCCCGGCCACTGGACCTTTATCCTTCCACAGACCTTTTTTCTGCCTTTTTTTGGTTGTTGTTTAGGTTCTTCCTAAAATTGAAGCTATTTAGTCGCAGGCTGATTCTCACATACATCAGATCACGCCTGAACCAACTATGACTTTGAGGTAGCAGCTAACACAGCTCGACACTGGTACCTAAAAGTTTCAATCTCACACCAAGGTCTCACTGAACCAGATGCCGCCCAGACAAATGAAAACGCAGCCCCGTCACCTTTCGGCAATCCCACCACCTTCCACTGGTGCTCCTACACTGGGATGTGGCTGTCTCCAGCCGTATTTATCCCATATTCTCCCAGCACACCTCTCCCTCACCAATTTTTCCTGTTCATTCAGTGGTTGATATTCCCTCTGCCTCTCTCCTCCCAGGCAGACGGAGGGCAGAGCACTCAGTGCGAACGTGTGCCAGGATGTTAGAAATCCGTGTGCGTGATGCGGAGCCGGGAAGCAATTAAAACCCATCAGTAAGGGCAAAGCAAACTTTCCCTCCCGTTACCTTGGAATCTGGCTTTATTCTTCCCTTTCTTTTACAGGGTAAGCATTAAGTCTGTTAAAAAACAATCAGATGCAGTAGCATTTACTGGCTTCTGTTACCAACAAGGAATTACTAAATTCAAGGGCTCTTTTTTGTGCAAATCTGCAACAAATCAGCACCGCGGGCAAGCCTAGCGCTCCTTCTTCAATTTATCATCTCAATACTGAAGGCTTCTTTAAGAATCAAGGGAATAAGTAATGCAGGAATAAAATCAAGATAGCAAGGTACATTTTATTCCAAGTCATTCATTTTTACGCAAGCCATGACAAGAAGAGTAAATCCCACAGATCTCTGCAAGGTCTGTTTCTCTTGACTGATGAACCAGAGCAGATGGAGCAAAAAGCCAGATACCTACTTGCCTGTTAAATCTGTGAAATCAGTAGATCTACGCAACATTTGTGAACAAATGTGTTATCACCCTAAAGAAAAATACATGGAGAAATGAGTTGTCTTAGCTTTCTGTAAACAACTTAACCTCTGCAAGCATGCGGTAAGAAATTTGTGCTCACGTTTTAAATGGCTTTCTCGCAACGGAAGCTCTGAGCGCTCGGGGTTTTTTTGCCCAAGTATCCATGACATGATCTCAGTTGTCATAGAAACAAGTCAGCTATCTCCCTGCCAAAAATTTTCTGCCCAATACAGAGATACAGAGTTAAGTATTTGATGCTGGTAGATCAGATTAGTTCAAGAAATCCCATTATTTGTGCACCTTTCTTGAAGCAAGGCGCTGTTTTATTTAGACTTCCTGCCAGATTTTAACAAAAAAGCAGTGACAGAAAATGCTAATACACTGCTAAAGAGAAAAATATAGTTGCTTTTTCAGGCAA